CCCCCACCCCCGAGAACGGAGCTGAAAAACAGGTTAGGAATGTGGCTGCCTTGGAGGGTGTGTGTGTGTGTGTGTGTGTGAGGGACCTGTGTGTATATGTATGTGTGTGTGTCGGGGGGAGGAGGGAGAGAACGAATACATCACTGCCAGCCCTCTGAGGTTAGATCGGATCTCTCTCTCTCTCTCTCTCTCTCTCTCTCTCTCTCTCTCTCTCTCCCACCAATGTCAGCAAGCGACCGTCAGTCAAAATTCATATTAAAGTTGCACATAGTCCGTGGGATTTAAAATTATGAGTTTGGGGGTCCCTGAGGTCTAAAAGGTTGGCGACCCCTGCTATAGAAGATACAGGAATTTTGTTTCGGGGTGGTTGTTTTTCCCAGGATACGAACTGAGCGACATTGAGAAATGCGTGAAATGGATGGTACCCTTTGCGATGGCTATCAAGGAAGTGGGGAGTTCGGTGTTGAAGCGCTTCAGAGGAATCCCTGCCGAAGATTTGCACAATATACAAACGCACATAAACACCTTCGATTTGCTGGTAAGTTAACACTGAAACCGAAAAAGTTGTTAATTACGGGTAGTCCTCCTCTTATTAACCGTTGGTTTAGCGATCTTTGGAAGTAGCAATGAGGCTTACAACTGATACTCGCGTTTAAAACCATCACGGCATCCCCTCCATTATCATCTTATTAACGACCCCGTAATCCCTTGCGGAGTGTAGTCTGGGCAACGGAATGGAGCTAGTAGAGTGTTTACTGGCCGGATGCCCTTCCTGTCACCAGTACGGAGTTTTGTTCAGCAGATATATTCTCATCGTGCCTCAGAGAGGGAAATATCTGCCTCTACCTAGGATCGAACTCACAGCCTCCTGATTGTGAGGCGAGAGCTCCACCTCTAGGCCACTGCACCCCTCCACAGCATCCCCATGGTCACATGATCGAAATTTGGGAGTTTGGCAACCGGCATGGATTTACGATGGTTGCTATTTCTGACCTCAGTTGGCTTCTGATAAGCAGAGTCAATAAAAAAGAGTGGAAGCCGGATTCGCTTACTGGTTGCGTGATTCACTTAATGACTAGGAATTTTCTTAATGACCATAGCAAAAAGGTGTAAAATCGGGCTCAATTCACTTAATAAACTGCCTCGCCTAGCGACAAAAAATTCCAGTCCCAGTTGTGATCGTAAGTTGAGGACTACCTGCATATAAATTGTGGTTTCTATGTGCAACTTTATTTCTGATGGAGCAATGGTGTATTTCCAGTGTGCAGCACACTAAGCCATAATGTACTTTATGCGATTTTGCTAGTTTGTGGTACGAATACAGTCCTTTTTTGGGTTTTTTTATAAACCACAGTTTGCGGGTGTGTTGTACTAAACCAGCCAGTTGTAATTTGTGTAATAAATCATAACTTAAAATAAATTGGTGCATGGTGCAGTGTGTGAATCTAGAAGTGGTAATGTTTGTAACGGGCCCTTTTAAGACTGTTCAGAACAAATTTTCATTGTATTTTGGTCCTGAAGGCACATTTGTGATGCACCTGCGTGGTTTTTTTTACTGCATTTCCTTCCAGTTTTTGGCAAAAAAAAGGTCCAATGGCGAACACTTAAAAAAAAGAAAGAACGAGTTCGCTTAATGATTGCAACATTCGATAATGATAATAAAGGAAATTTAAAAAATGGGTTTGGTCACATAGATGGCACTTTTTTATGGCTGTCATGGCTTATGACAGTAAACAGGCAGGCTCTGTTAATGTTGTAAGTTGAGGACTAATGAGAAGAACCCCAATTTGTTCTGGCTAGGTTTTATATATTAACATAATATAATTATATTATGAGATAGATAGATAGATAGATAGATAGATAGATAGATAGATAGATAGATAGATAGATAGATAGATAGATAGATAGATAGATAGATAGACAGACAGACAGATGTATAAAATAAAAAACAAAGTAATACACAGCGGGGTAGGAAGGCATCAATTTTGGCTTTGCTTTGTTGTTACTTACATATTCATTTGTCTATGGAGCATCCAAGACATGCTTTTCCCTAAGGTGCTTTTTCAAGAGGCAGCTGGATTTTCTGGTTTTTCCTTGAAGACGTTTCGCTTCTCATCCAGGAAGCTTCTTCAGCTCTGACTGGATGTTGGGAACTGGAGGGATTTATACTTCTTGCAAACAGCTGGTCATTTGCATCCTTTTAGAGGGTTGTTGAGGCCACTTGGAGATTTGTTTGTGTCCTCAGGGTCCCCTGAGTGTGGTGCAAATGGGTGTGGAGCCTCCTTGGAACTGTTGAAAGGACCGTGTTATAGATTGGAGATTGAGGATGTCGTATCGCTGCCTCTCTGCTGAGAGAGAGCTGTTCAGTGTTGACATAGATGGCTTCTTTGATCTCTTCTTTCAAAGCAGAAGTCCTCTCTGTCCAGAATGTGGACTCGCTAAAAGAATGCAAATGACTCGCTTGTCTGCAAAGGAGTCTAAATCCTTCCATTCCCCCACTATCCAGTCAGAGCTGAAGAAGCTTCTTGGATGAGAAGCAAAATGTCTTCAAAGCAAAAAAACCCCAAGAAATTCTAGTTGCCTCCTGAAAAAAAAGCACCTTTGGGACAATCATGACATGGATGGCTGATCTCTACAGGCTTTTAGCTATAAAATTTGGGGTGAGCACCCTTTGGATGGTGTGGGAGTAGGAATGGGTTTCCAGAGGGAAAAGAAAAAAGAAAAATTGCAGGAACCAGGAGGAGTAGTCAGGTGGCCCTGAGGACACAGATAAACCTCCAAGTGGCCTCGATGCTCCTCTAAAAGGAGGCAAATGACCGGCTGCCTGCAAGGAATATCAATCCTTCCATTGCCCACCATCCAGTCAGAGCTGAAGAAGCTTCTTGGATGAGAAGCAAAACGTCTTCAAAAGAGAAAACCAGAAAGTCCTCTTGGGGACTATCTTTTCCTTTGTCTACATAAAGCAGGGCTGCTTTGCAAATCTCGTAGCTGTGCAATCAATCCGTGCACTTGAATGAGCGAGTAATGGTTCCCTTTTGGTATTCTTCTCTTCCAGGACAAAGCGCGATCCAAACAAGCCACGCTAGCTGAGAAAAACAGGTGTTCTCCTTTGCCCACAGGTGTTCTCACCCCACCTCAGAGCAGCAAGAAACTCTCTCAGACCTCGAAATAGCTAAAGCTACGGAAGCTGCTCTCCTTCTCCTGATCTGCTGCTTTCTTTTAAAAAAGACACACAACTCCCTCGTCCTGTATTTTTATTTTCACAATTCTGCATTGTCGCCAGATGCTGCCAACGACTCCAGATTCATGCTAGAATGGGAGGGGGGGTGGGGATGAGGAAAAACAAAATCCCTTTGTGTATTTTTAATGGAAGAAACTGACCAGATTTGAAAACTGGGTTTTCTTTTCTTTTTAATGGAATGTCCTGTCTTTCTATGAACTCTTCGAATATACCAGCCACCTCCAACAGGGATGTGCTTGGATTGCTGCTAAGGAAAGAGTGAAGAAAAAAGAAAAGAGAGAGAGGTTTTGCCCTAACCCAACAATGCGCTGGTTGCAGTTAGCCACGGCAAATAAACCTCTTCTCAGATTTGAGTTTACAGCCTGGTTGTTGTTTTTAATCCTTTGTAAATGCTCATATGTATCTCTCATATTTTATTTTTTTTTAAATAAAGTGCAGTCTTTGGTAATGGCACTTTGTAACGGACGTCAGAATGGCTGAAGGTTGAGAATGGAGAAGATTGAACGGCCAGAGAGAAACACTTTATCATAAGATTAGCAGCATGTATCTGAAGTCAAGTGGGGCTGGATGTGCTTGGACTTTAGGAGAAATCAAAATGTGGTTGCGGAGTATGAACCATCCACTAGTTACGCTACTGCTTACGGCTTAGCAGTATTCCAACTCTTTTGAAACCAGTGTGTATAGTTATAACAGTTAGTCCTCGACTTAAGGCAACAGTGGAACCTAAAACTCACGCTGATTAAGCGAGGCGCTTGTGGAGTGGGGTTTGCTCCTTTTTACGGCCATTTTAACACAGTTACTAACTGAATCTGGCTTCCCCCGTTGACTTTCCTTATCAGGAGGTCGGAAAAGGAGATCCCGGGATACTGCAACCATCATAAATATGAACCAGTTGCCAAGTGTGTCATGGCCCCTGTCGGAGTCTGAATCTGAGGAGGAAGATGGACAGCTGACAGGGAGCAGAGAGAATGGCTCTGTTGGCTGTGGAGGAAACTGGAGAAGGGCAAAGTCCGGCTGGGCAGAGCAGGGAAGAGGTAGAACAAGGGAGAGGGAGTTCAGTGGAAGACCCAGGCCCACCCCCTCTTCAATCCTAGGGAACGCAGAGAGGAACGGAGAAAAGAGCAACAGAGGGGTGCATGGCTTACAGGGGAGGAAAGGGCCCTGATTCCCTTCACAGGGCACACCTGGGGATGGAGTGTAAAAGATGGGAGGGGCAGTTGTTGGGAACAAACCCTGAGTTCATCTAGTGTTGGCTGCTGTTATCTGAGTTCCTGACATCCTCCCAACTGGTTTGATTTACTGCTGTGCTACTTCACTTCTGGAACTCCTTATCATGCCCTGCCGGATTTATTGCTTTATCTTGCTTTGCTGGATTTATAGTTTAAAGTTTTCTGTTTACAACCTTTTGGACTGGAATATTTGCAGCCAAAGGCTGTTGCAGGTGCCTGGGAAAGTTTTTCTCCAAACCGGAAGGTAACTAGGACATTCGGGGCAAAGTTGGAGCTAATAAAGGGACCCCTACATTATCTGGCTGAGTTGTCTTTGTGCCACGCCCCGGGTCACCACAAAGCGTCTGAATTTTTGATCACGTGCATAGAGATGCTGAAAAGGTCAGGGATGTTGCTGGCATATACAGGTACTTCTTGACTTACAACAGTTCATTCAGTGAGCATGCAAAGTTACAACGGCACTGAAATTCAGATGGGTGGCAACTGGCTCGTGTTACGACGGTTGCAGTTTTCCCAGGGACCTGTGATCCCCTTTTGGGACTTTCTGAGAAGCAAAATCCAATGGTGAAGCCAGATTCACTAAACAACCGTGTGACTGACTTAACAACAGCATTCACTTAAAGGCCTATGGCTTCAAAGGTAAAATGGGACAAAACTCAACAACAGAATTGTGGGGCTCCATCGCGGAGCACCTATAATTCTGGGTTTGAAAAGATACACACACACACACACACACGCACGTAGCTGTGCAACTTCTCAACTTTCTAGGGGATGTCAACAAGTTAGGAGAATTTCTAGCTTCAGGTTCGCTTCGTGTTGTGCAGGGAAGCAGCTGGAATGTCTGATCTGCGAAAACGGAGACGGTGGTGGAACTAAGTATAGCCTTGGCTGAGAATTGAACGACTGGCTCGCCGCTGTGAATGTGGTGGAAGCCAAAGCGCTTCGGTGCCTTTTGAAAACTTGAGAAGCGGCTCCAGCTGCTTTCTAGAAGCCTTGCAAGAGGTTGCCTCCCGGTTGAGCAACGTTGGGTCGTGTCAACAGTTCCACATATTTCAAGTTCAAGAGTGTTTTTTTGGGGGGGGGGAGTGGTATTTAAGGTTGTACGCCGGGTTGTTAGATCGATGCTGTCTTCCAGCAGGTTTTTAAGGGAGGGCAGAGTGAAGGTGGTTTTTATAGATTCCATGCAAAACTCTTCTTATAAAGAGAAGGCTGTACAACGGCAGGGCTGCTGCCTTGCCTTGTATAAATGCAATTATGCTGATGGGGAAAAGCAGTTTGCAACTGAGATCCATCCTTATTTCATCCATTTATATCTATTGCCAGAATGCAAAGGGGGTCAGTGGATAAAAATGCTGAGCATGTCACCTGGCGAGCTAGGAGCTCAGGTTTGAGACCCGTGCTCTATGCAATGGGGTGAGCTCCCTTTACTTGCTCCAGCTCCTTGTTGTGGTTCACTGGCAGCAGGTGCGGACGGCTGAGGTCTCGGAGAGCGAGGACTCAGATGAGGAGACTATGTGTGATGCAGGGATGGGGCCAGGACCATCAGGGAGTGGAATGCTGCCATCGGAGATTGTGGAGGCTGGCAGCAGTGAGGAAGAGGTCCCTGAGGAGCCTCTGCGCATGCGCGCAGGGCTGCTCGAAGGAAAGAGCAGCTGCAGCAGCACGGGCGACTTGGGAGTAAGGCTGCAAGGTAATGGCCCCTCCCTTAAGAGATAAAAGCCAGCCTGAGAGACCAGGATTCTTTGCAGGAAGCAAAGAAGTTCTTGCACTTCAAGCCTTGTGGAAGTTCGAACTATCTTGGTTTGTGTTTGGAGACTTTATGTTTGGAATATTTCTTGGCAACTTAATCTAGTGGTTATGGCAGCCTTGCCCAACCTTGGCAAGGCTCATTCTTATCAGAGACAATTAGTTTGAATACCTTTTTAACGGTGAATTAACGGAATTTGCAGAGAAGCATTAAAAGGTTTTGCCTTTATCTCTGTTTGGTGTTTGTTTACTTTGGAACAAGGTTTGGGTCAGGACATTCCTGCCCACCTAGCAGTTGGAAAGCATGCACATGCAAGTAGATTAATAGGTACCACTTCGTTCCATGCCCCTTTGGCGTACAACCATGCTGGCCACAGAAATTGTCTTCGGACAATGCTGGTTCCCTCGGCCAAGAAATGGAGATAAGCACCGTTCCCTAGAACCATGCACAACTGCCAGGAAAAGCTTTATCCTTTAGAATGCAAAGGAGAATCTTCTCCAGATTAATTAAAGGACAGCGGAGAAAATTAGAAACAACAGAATGAGATTGACTGTATGCTTCATTTGTTACCCACCGTAAGATTCTGATTCTATCTCTTCCCTCTCCCTCCCACCGCACCGTGAAAGCTCGCACAAGCTAGCTTCTTGCCATACATTCACAAGGATTTCACTAAAATATTTCTTGTTTTCTCAAGTTTACATCTCCCAGCCTTTCACGGTTTCCATGAGGCAGTCTGCCCTAGTGATGAAAATAAATCTGTGTCATTTTTATTTTTTTCCCCCTCCTTATGTGTGAAGATTCATTTCCGCTTATTTCTCCCACACATATATATACGGCTAGGCTGGCTTTGTAAACGGCTTGCATTCTTCTAATGCTCTTTCTGTGAACGGATACATATGCACAAAACTCATGTTCTTGAAAGACCATATGCTCAGGTCTGTCGGCTTAAAATACCCACGCCAAGTGATGCTTTGATTCCAAGAAACGTCGCCTGTGTCGCCATCTATCTTGCGAGGTTAATTAATCGGCCTTAAAATATTTAAAGTGATAGGAAGGAGCGAGAGCCTTCCAACTTGTCCAAGTTTCTGGTTCCTTAAATGCGGTACTTTCCTTCCAACTGCAAGATGACACTGTCTGATTTGACTGCTGTTTTTCTTCGGTACTACAGGACCGGAAAAATAAATAAATCAATTTTTGGCCGGGTTGATATAAAAACAGGACAGGGTTCAAGGATGGTAACAAGTCAAAGTTCACTGCTGGGGTGGGGTGTTTCTTTCACTAGTCTTGTTTTTTGTGAGGCCAGAAGTCTCCTGGAGTGGTGCTTTCATCTATTTTTTTTGTTTCTTTTTGGAGGAATGCATGATTCAGTGTAAAAGTTTGTACTTGAAGTACACATAGAATAAAATAACAGAGTTGGAAGGGACCTTGGAGGTCTTCTAGTCCAACCCCCCGCCTAGGCAGGAAACCCTACACCACTTCAGACAAATGGTTGTCCAATCTCTTCTTAAAAACTTCCAGTGTTGGAGCATTCACCACTTCTTGAGGCAGGCAGTTCCACTGATTAATTGTTCCGACTGTCAGGAAATTTCTCCTTAGTTCTGGATTGCTTTGCTCCTTTACTAGTTTCCACCCATTGCGTGATGACCCAGGGTGGGATACAAAACAAACACAGTCACAGAAAACAGGTGAAGCCCCTTTTATTCCTTCCGTTTCCTTCTAAGCTCCAAATATCCTTGACTGAAGACAAAAAACTCCCACACAAGCAGTTACAAGGAGGAGGGAAAAAAACAACACAAATCAGGCAAAATAAGGGCTGGAGGATGCCCACAGATAACACACACCGGGAAGGATGCCAAACTTGGAGAGGAACCATAAACTAGAGATATTTCCATGCTTTGTTTCCAGCATTCGCCCATACACATGTCCGTCCTCTTATCCAGTTGTCACAGCTGCAGCCCATGAAGAGGAACAAGGCCCTCTCCTCCTGAGTAGACCACGTCTCTCCCTGATCCTCTCCTCCCTGCGTGCCCTAGGATGGAGAGGGGATGGGCCTGGGTCCTCCTCTGACTGCCCAGC